GAAGGGTCCACCAAATGGAGGGCGAACTGATACGGCCTCCAAGGCCGCCATGATGCCCGCAAGAGGCCCCCAAGAGGCCCCAAGAGGTCCCAAGAGGTCCCCATGAGACCCCCAATACGCCCCAACCAGGCCTTCAAGAAGCACTCAAGAGGCCCCCACGATACTCCAAGAGGCATCAGGGAGGCCTCTGGTTCACAACCCAAGCACGACCGCAGGCTGGGCCAAAGGTCACTACAGCAGGCACATACGACAAGACATCTTGGTATAAGAAACCTTGGGGCACACCGTTCGTCTACATTTGAGTCCTGGGCGCCCGCCAAGCTTCGGTGGGCCCCTGGGCCATCTAGAGATTTGGAATATATGTCGGGCACCAGCTGACAAACCGACGTCTTATTTGATGCACCCACCGTCAACCCTTACAGTAAGGATGCGCGATACGGGTGCAAAGGGCCTTGGATGTCCAGTTCGAAGCTTTTTGAGCGGGGCGCGGCCAACGAAAGTGGCCAAGGATGGACGGAGGAGGCAAGGACGCACGGGTACCCTTGGGAGGGTTGCCCATCCGTGCCATGCGGGCTGACCGTACCATGGACAATTCCTCCTCGAGGCGCCACCAGACGTGTCGGCAGGGCGCTTTGGGACTTCCTCACGGGCGCCCACAAAGTTCCAAAAAGCTCGAGGCCTCGAGAGCTGTGCGAGGGGGGCCGTGCTCCTCGCGGATAAGCTCTCAAACGAATCCAGGAGCTCGAGGCTCCAAGCACTGCGCGACGCGGGGCTCTCGCGGGGCGTTTGTTCACAAGGGGGCTCTCGCCGTGCACTTCCCTGGGCGTCTACGAGCATACGCACCCTGGCTAGAGCCATGGGTGGCAGCTCCTTTTCCAAACGGGGCCTCGCCCGAACGGCGGGCCCTAGGGACGCTCCTCGTTCAAGCTGGATGTGGGACCCGATGGTGTTCTGCAGCAGTGCTGATACACCCTGGGTTCGCTCTGGTCCTCATCCTCCTCATCCTCCTTGAGCTCCCCCTCATCATCATCATCATCATCATCATCATCATCATCATCATCATCATCATCAGCATCATCATCATCATCATCATCATCATCATCATCATCATCATCAGCATCAGCATCGTCATCATCATCAGCAGCAGCATCAGCATCAGCATCAGCATCAGCATCAGCATCATCATCACCATCATCACCATCATCACCATCACCATCATCATCACCACCATCATCACCATCATCATCATCCTCATCATCACCACCATCATCACCCTCATGGGAATCCTCGTCCCCATCATCAGCAGTAGCATCACCACTACCACCCTTGTCGTTATCGCTGTCTTCATCACCGGCTTCAGCACCGTCAGCACTAATACATCATCACCATCATCAACATCATCATCATCAACATCACCATCGTCATCATCAGCAGCATCATCGCCATCAGCATCGCCGTCATCATTGGCATCATCATCACCACAATCAGCATCATCATCATCATCATCATCAGCAGCAGCAGCATCAGCACCATCCGCATCATCATCAGCATCATCATCAACAGTAACATCATTAACAAATCTCATCGGCGGCATTCTCATCCGCATCATCGGTTACCCTCCTCGCACATGAGGTAGTCGGCGGAAGCCCCCTGCTCGGAAGCCAGGACGGCCAGGCTGGTCGCCAGGTTGTTGAGCACCTCACCCGCTCGATCAGCGGAGGACGAGGGAGGGGGGGGAGGGGGGGAGAGGAAGGGAGAGGGAAAGGGAGAAGGGGAGTAGGAGGAGGAGGAGAAGGACCAGTGTAAACCCAATAGTCATCAACGATGTTGGAATAAACCCTCCCTCCAAGCTCCCTCTTCACAGGCCCCTACAACGGTTCATTTCCAATGAAGGAACTGCCTCTTTGGAAGACAACCGTTTGAAGACCCTGAAGCATATCAAAACATTGTTCTCGGGATTCCAGCGCCACGGATCAACCTGACTGTTGCGTCTTGACAATCCAGAATCCTGCCAGGACGCCATGTCTGGGACTTCAACACAGCGAATCAACATAACGGTTGCACCGGCATAATCCTGAACCCCTTCAAGACATCATTTCTGACAAATTGATGATGGGAATCCGTGAAGCTCTGCCAATTTTTGTTTAAAAAATGTGCGCCACGCAAGGGCGAAAGCCACATTTTGGAAAACGACCCGCCCTCAATCTGTGAAGCTCTTGCACATGTTTAAAACGAATGTGCGCCGCGCTAGGGCGAGAGCCACATTTTGAAAACCACCCGCCTTCAATTTGTGGAACTCTTGCAAATGTGTAAAAGGAATGTGCGCCGCGCTAAGGCGATAGCCACATTTTGAAAAACGACCCGCCCTCAATACGTGAAGCTCTTGCACATGTTTAAAACGAATGTGCGCCGCGCTAGAGCGAGAGCCACATGTTGAAAACGACCCGCCCTCCATCTGTGAAACTGTTGCCAATTTAAGCTCCAGAATCAAAAAAGGTAAGGAAATCTCAGGCGAAACGCCCGGCCCGCCCTAAAAACTGACCTCGAGGTGCGACAGGGGGAGATGATTTAGGGAAGGGAATGGAGGAGGAGGAGCAGCAGCAACAGCAGGAGGAGAAAGGGGACAGGAAGAGGGATGATAGATGCGTGAAGGAGGAGGGACGACGAAGGAGCGGAGGGAAGCCGGGGGAGGGCAAGATTGGAACACCCGCGCAGTTTCTGGTATCATACCCCTCCGATCCCTTACCGTGGAGTTGAGTCCTCTCTATTCGCAAAATAGAACGTTGGAAAAAACCACTTTGCCTCGAATTCTGGCAAGCGGAAACACTACGTCTGCGGACGCACTAGTAGGGCCAGCGCAGCTGCGAGAGCGCCGCTCCGTGGGATGGAGGCTCTAGGGCAACTCTTGAGTGCGGACAGCGCTGCAACGGGAGCTACTTTTTGGCTCATGCAAGAATGCGGCCAGCGCTGCGACAAGAGCGTTGTTCCATTGGGCGGAAGCCGAATGGAAATTCTGAAATGTGGCGAACGCTTCAGTGGGAGCACCACGTTTGTGGATACACGACCACGGCCAGCGATGCGGTGAGAGCGACGTTCTGTTGGACGGATGCTCGGTGAAAATCCTTGAATGTTGCCAACGCTGCAGCCAGAAAGCAGCGTTTGAGGAACGAGAGTGGTCTGACTGACAAAACATACAGCACATCACCTTGGAACGCCTGTGTGCGTGTGCGACAAGCAGTTTACGTCATAAGCGGCGGCATATGAAGACAGTGCCTGGGAAGAGAGGAGAGAAGTATTCATGACAAGCTGGGCGCGCCTGCGCAATCTCTGACGTCCTCCCCCTTCCCCCCCCATCCTTGTCTATCGCGCTGAAAACTTCTCTGTTCGCAGAGTCGGGTGTCTGGACATGTCCTTCAACATCTTGTCTGTACATGTCCTGTATAAACTCTCTATAGCCAAATGTGATACTCTCCAGATCCGGAATCGGTGCCTCGTGAACTCCCATGTTATCTCCCGTATGATATCCCTATGGTCTCCGTAAGGCCTCCCGTATGGTATCTCGGATGGTCTCCTGTATGGTCAACCGTATTGTCCCCATGGTGGTCACCCGTCTGTTCTCCCTCATGGTCTCCCGTCTGATATTCCTTATGGTTTCCCGCTATGGCCTTCTCCTTGTGGTAGTTATGAAAGGCCTCGTTTTCATGGTACCCCTTATGGTCTCCCTTGTGGCCTCCCCTCCGGGACTCTCTCTAGAGAGAGCTCTCTGTACTGCGCTCCCCTGTCTCTTGCGCCCTCTACAGCGATGATATCCCGAGTGCTGTGACAGCAAGGGGCGGTCAGCGCCGCGGCGAGAGCGCCCGTCCGCGGCACGGAAGCCCCGTGGAAATCCGTGCGGCACGCGCTGCAGTTTGGTGGCGCCACTATTGCTTCCCCCCTGGGTTATGTTGTTCCCATCGTACTTAAAGACCACATCCCAGCAATATTTTCGGGCACCCAGGAAAGTAAGAAACGGCGAAGGGCCCGACGAGAAAACCCTCCAATTGTGGTGCTTCCCTGGTGCTCGATTTTTTTCTTATGATCAAGGCTAAAGTAGGTCTGAACATCATAACCTCCGGGGCAAATCCGCCTTCCCCTCAAGGGGGCTATACCTAGACAAGCGCGCTCCACTTCTCGCAAAGCAACTTGTCGCAAATGGCCTGGATCCGCCGCGGGGGATCTACGATACATGACATCGAAACACACATGTGTTTGTCTGCCGTTTGCGAGTTGGCACCTTGCGAGTAGTGGAACGCGCTCGGAGAATACCCGTCCACAACAAGGAACGGTGATGCTCGATTGGCCGGCTGGGCTAATGTCACCGCGCTCTCGGCGATCGGTCCGTTGCAAGGCTGCGGTCAGCGCCGCGGCGAGCGCACCGCTCCGCTCTCCTTTGGAGATCGACGGACATGCAGACATGCGGCAAACCCCACAACGGGCCACTGATGCAGAGGGACGACCGCCAGGGCCACAGCTTCGGAGGAAGCGTCGCTCCGTTGGACGGAGGCTCCCCGAGTACTAACACAAAATGCGTCAAGCCCACCAGCGAGAGCACAGCCTTTCAAGGGAAGCAAGCGATCTGATTGCCCGCATGGGTGCCACATCGCTGCCACTGCTGCGGCAACAGCGTCGCTCCGTTTGACGGATGCTTTCTGGTGATCGCGACATATGGCGCGAAAGCACCAGGGAGAGCACCACTGTTCAAAGGCAGACGCGAGTCTGACTGAACAAGAGATAACGAATTGAAACTGGGACCCAGCTTCTGAGTAAGAGATAGCTATCACAAGCCAACGCGGCATCAGGGGAGAGAGGATAGTAGTACTTAAGTGTGGTGATGAGTGAGCGGTTGTGTCGGAGGAGTGGGAGGAGAGCCAAGATCTCCTCCTCCTCCTCCTCCTCCTCCTCCTCCTCCTCCTCATCCTCCCCCTCTTGGTCCCCCCCCTCCTCCGCCTCCTGCACTGGCACGATCCGAGAACCCTAAGTTGAAAGCCGAGCCGTCGTTGCTGTGCAGCGCGCTGGCCAATGTGAACACTCTGGCCGCCTCGAGGGACCGGCCTTCATTCAGCGCCGAGATCCCCTGCCGGGTCAGCTCCTCTGCATCCTCGGTGGTGTTGCTCAGGATCTCCAGGGGGAGGGACAGGTTGGCCGAGGCCCCCTCTCCTGAGGGGGGAGAAGGTACAGGAGCGAGACGAGGAGGAGGACGAGGAGGAGGAGGAGGAGGAGGAGCAGGGGAGGGAAAGATGGAGGAGTGGAGGGAGGAGGACTGAGAGAATGAGGAGGAGGAGGAGGAAGAGGAGGGAGGAGGAGGAGGAGGAGGAGGAGGAGGAGGAGGAGCAGGGGAGGAAAAGATGGAGAAGTGGAGGGAGGAGGACTGAGAGAATGAGGAGGAGGAGGAAGAGGACGGAGGCGGAGGAGGAGGAGGAGGAGGAGAAGAAGCAGAAGAAGGAGAAGGAGGAGCGGAAGGAAAGGGGGAGAAGAAGCGGGAGAGGGTGGGTGGAAGATGTGAGGAGGGAGAGGACTGGGAAGGGGGAGAGGGGGTACATTGGAAGGTTGGCCAAGCCCCCATCGGCTCCAAGCCCAGCCAGCTGAAAGACGCTCAGGCCAGCAGCCCAGAACCACAACAGACTGAGGGGCCCGGGGGGGGGGGAAGTCCTCCTCGTTGTCGTCCTCCTCTTCCTCCTCCTCCTCCTCCTCCTCCTCCTCTTCCTCTTCCTCTTCCTCCTCCTCTTCTCCTCCTCTTCCTCCTCACTCCTCCTCCTCCTCCTCCTCCGCAGCAGCAGCAACAGCAGCCTCCACTCCCCCCAGCTCCCCCTCCGCCCCTGCACATGCGAAACAGGCCACTACGGTACATCGACAAGATGTTGCACCGCCTGGTGCCCAAGGCAGCGGACACCGTTTTGAAATTACCCCAGTGCGAACGGTAAACGCCGTCCTCCTCTTTCTCCTCATCGTCGTAGTTGCCTTTGCTTTTGTTTGCTTTTGCTTTTGCTTGGTTTTGCTTTTGCTTTGCCTTCGCAGGCACACGCATGTTTTTGCATTCGCTCACCTGGTGGGCGCTCTGATCGTACTGTTGCGCATTGCGTTTGCTTTGCCTTTCCTTTGATTTGATTTTGCGTTTGCTTTGCTTTGTTTTGCGTTGCTAGTGTCTTGCTGTGCTGTTGCCGCTGTTGCTTTGCCTTTGCTTTGCTGCTATGCTATGCTATGCTATGCTATGCTATGCTATGCTATGCTATGCTGCACTATGTTATGCTATGCTATGGTATGCTATGCTATGCTGCGCTATGCTGCGCTATGCTTTGCTACGCTAGGCTGCGCTATGTTATGCTGGGCTATGGTATGCTATGCTATATTATGATATGCTATGCTGTGCTATGCTGCGCTACGCTATGCTATGCTATGTTATGCTGCGCTATGCTATGCTATGCTATGCTATGCTATGCTGTGCTATGCTGTGCTATGCTATGCTAAGCTAAGCTGAGCTAAGCTAAGCTAAGCAAAGTTACAGCTAAGCGACGCTAAGATGAAGCTAAATTAAGCTAAGATGAGATAAGCAACGCGAAGCCAAGGGAACGTCACTGGGGGAACCGCGGGGCGGATGCCGGGGGAACCGCCCGGGGCGTGCCCCACTGCCCGGCCCTTTAAGCATACCGAGTAAGAACCCTTCTAGGCAGAGCCTAGGTAGGGAATGAACGCTTACGTCTGAGCCTCCCCTCCACCCCCATCTAATATTGGCTGCGGTCCGGGGTCGCCGAAACAGGTCGGTGGTGCAACATTCTGTCGATCGCCTAGGGAATTTCAGAGCAGCTCCTTCTCGCATGCCCCCACTATTAGATGGGGGTGGGGGGCGGGCAGCCCAAACCCTGTACCCGTGTCGTCCAGATTCGGGCAGGAGGGGCAGGTAGATGAGGACGAGTGTGAGAAGGAGGGGCAGGAGGAGGGGCAGGAGGAGGAGCAAGAGGAGGAGGAGGAGGAGGAGCAAAAGGAGGAGGAGGAGGAGGAGGAGGAGGAGGAGGGAGGAGGGAGGAGGAGGAGGAGGAGGAGGAGGAGGGAGGAGGAGGAGGAGGAGGAGAGGGATGATTATCCCAGTGCGACCCTACCTAGGAGTTGGAGCATTCAGGAAAGCAACAGCTAAGCTAAGCTAAGCTAAGCTAAGATGGGGTAAGCTAAGCTAAGCTAAGCTAAGCTAAGCTAAGCTAAGCTAAGAAGCGAAGCGAAGCTAAGCTAAGCTAAGCGAAGCGAAGCGAAGCTAAGCTAAGCTAAGCTAAGCTAAGCTGGGCTAGGCAAAGCTAAGCTAAGCTAAGCTGAGCTGAGCTAAGCTAAGCTAAGCTAGGCTAGGCTAGGCAAAGCTAAGCTAAGCTAAGCTAAGCTAAGCTAAGCTAAGCTAAGCTAAGCTAAGCTAAGCTAAGCTAAGCTAAGCTAAGCTAAGCTAAGCTAAGCTAAGCTAGCTAAGCGAAGCTAAGCTCAGGGTAAGTTAAGCTAAGCTAAGCTGGGCTAGGCAAAGCTAAGCTAAGCTAAGCTGAGCTGAGCTAAGCTAAGCTAAGCTAGGCTAGGCTAGGCTAGGCAAAGCTAAGCTAAGCTAAGCTAAGCTAAGCTAAGCTAAGCTAAGCTAAGCTAAGCTAAGCTAAGCTGAGCTAAGCTAAGCTAAAGCTAAGCTAAGCTAAGCTAAGCTAAGCTAAGCTAAGCTAAGCTAAGCTAAGCTAAGCTAAGCTAAGAAGCTAAGCTCAGGGTAAGTTAAGCTAAGCTAAGCTGGGCTAGGCAAAGCTAAGCTAAGCTAGCTGAGCTAGCTAAGCTAAGCTAAGCTAGGCTAGGCTAGGCAAAGCTAAGCTAAGCTAAGCTAAGCTAAGCTAAGCTAAGCTAAGCTAAGCTAAGCTAAGCTAAGCTAAGCTAAGCTAAGCTCAGGGTAAGTTAAGCTAAGCTAAGCTGGGCTAGGCAAAGCTAAGCTAAGCTAAGCTGAGCTGAGCTAAGCTAAGCTAGGCTAGGCTAGGCAAAGCTAAGCTAAGCTAAGCTAAGCTAAGCTAAGCTAAGCTAAGCTAAGCTAAGCTAAGCTAAGCTAAGCTAAGCTAAGCTAAGCTAAGCTAAGCTAAGCTAAGCTAAGCTAAGTAAGAAGTTAAGCTAAGCTAAGCTAGGGGAACCCAGGGGGCGCAACCGGGGGAACCAGGGGGGCGCAACCGGGGGAACCGCCCGGGGTGGGTAGCATTGCCCGCCCCCTTTAGCCAACAAAGTAAGAACCCTTCTAGGCAGAGCCTAGGTAGGGAAAAAGGAGGGGAGGGAGCAGGAGGACGACGATGAGAAGGACGACCAGAGGAAGCCGCCCAAGAAACACCAGCCATGCTGCAGTACGCCCGCGCGCCCCAGGCCCTGCCTCGGAAGCCCCCCGCGGGAACTCTTCCCCTCTGCGGGAAGGGACCCCTTGAGAGACGGGCGCCCCGCCCCACGGTCCTGCGGTCCGGGCGAGGGCCCCGTCTGCACAGGGCGCTGCCGCCGCTGCTTCTAGCCAGGGAGAGCGGCGGCGACTGACCCGAACGTCCAAGGAAGCACACAGCGAGAGACCCGCCTTGAACCGAGCCGCCATCAGCCCGTGCAAGCGCTCTCCAAGTTTGAACGCCTGGCCATGCACCCCGATTTGCAAAAGGAGCCACCCTCCCTCCGTGTGACCGTGTGGCCGTTGCACCATTTGTAGGTGTTTGGTCGTCATATGGCGAAGGAGATTGCAGCCGGCAAGTCTGTCGTTTGCAAGAGCATCGCCCTCCATCCACGTGACGGCCGGAGGCGTTTAAAGACGAACGTGCGTGGCGGTGAAGTGAGAACAACACTTTGAAAACCAGCCCCCCTCCATCCGCGTAGCTGTAGGAAGCGTTGAAGACGAGTGCGCGTGACGCTGAGGCGAGAACAATATTCTGAAAACGACCCCCATCCATGCGTGCAGCTCTTGGAGCATCTGGAACACTTGGAAACAAAATCTTCGCGGCGCTCTGGCGAGATAGGCGTTTTGAAAACGCCCGCCTCCATCCGTGTAACTGCTGGGAACGTTTGAAATGAATGTGCGCGGCACTAAAGCGAGAGACACATTTGGACCCCCCCCCCTTGCGTGTAGTGAGCTGTTGGCATGTTCAAGCTTCGGGGTCATCAACGGCAAGAAAGTCTCAGGCAATAGTCGAACAGGCAAGAATCGTCTGAAACCCCCCTACCCTCCACCCCTCCTCCTCCCCCATCCTCCTCATCCGCATCCTCATCCGCATCCCGATCCCGATCCCCATCCTCATCCTAAAAGCATCTCAACACTCAGTACCACCATCATCAACATCATAACCATCATCATCAGCAGCAGCATCAGCATCAGCATCATCACCACCACCATCATCATAACCATCATCATATTATAACTATAACTATTATTCTTCATCAGTCCCATCACCAAGCATCATCACCATCATTATATTTGCCATGATAATCACCATCACCATCAACATCATCATGGTCATCATCGTCATCATCATCATAATCAGCATCATCAGAATTACCAAAAACATCACCACCACCACCAACAACATCATCATCATCATTATCACTACGACCACCATCATCCTCATCCTCATCCTCATCCTCATCCTCATCATCTGCATCATCATCACCGTCGTCATCCTCATACTTACCACCGTTACCACATTCAACTTGTTCATTATCGCCCCCATCCCTTTCCCAATCCTTCTCCTCGCCATCATCCCTATAGTCATCATCCTTGCCCTCATCATCATCATCATCAGCATCATCATCAGTTTCATCATTATTTTCATCATCAGCATCATCATCGTCATCACCACCACCACCACCATTGTAACCATCATCATCATCATCATCATAACATCCCCTATCCCATTACCATCCTCATGTTCATGCGCGTCATCATGATCATCATCATCATCATCATCATCATCATCATCATCATCATCATCATCATCATCATCATCATCATCATGATCATCATCATCATCGTCGTTAGCATCGTCATCATCAGCATCATCAACATCATAATCATCATCATAATCATCACCATCAACATCATCATCATCATCATAATAATAATCCCCCTTCTACTCCTTCTTTTCATCATCATCACTCCCATCCTTATACTCGTCCTCATCCTTGCCCTCCTCCTACTCCTCATCCTCATCATCATCATTATCATCATCCTCATCTTCATCATCATCCGAATCCTTATCCTAGTCCTTAACCTTATCCTTATCCTCCGCCTCCTCCTCCTCATCCTCAAAACCACTACCATTCCGATGTTCATTATTATTACCATTATCATAATCCTCCTCCGCCTAATCATCATCATCATCAGCATCATCATCATCACCATCATCACCATCATCATCATCATCATCATCAGCATCATCATCCGCATCATCATCATCATCATCATCATCATCATCATCATCATCATCATCATCATCATCATCATCGTCATCGTCATCGTCATCATCATCATCATCAGCAGCATCAGCATCATCATCGTCACCACCACGATCATCATCACCACCATCATCACGATCCACCACCATCATCCCCTCACCTGTCCCTGTGACTCGCGCTGCCCTCAGCATCCCCGGGCCTCTTCGCCAGCGGCCAAGCCCGGCGCATCCGCTAGAGGGCCCCCCGCCCCACCCCGCGCGGAGCCGAAAAGCTGCGCCCGCGCCGAGCACCTTCTCATCCTCCCTCCTGCAGCCCTTCCTCCACCCCCCCTCCATCTCATCCTCATCCTCCAACTCCCTCCTCTCCTCCTCCTCCTCCTCCCCCTCCTCCTCCTCCTCCTTCTCCTCCTCCTCCTCCTCCCTCCTCCTCATCCTCATCATCATCACCAACACCACCATCACCATCATCATCAGCATCATGGTCATCATCATCATCACCTCATCTTAGTCGCCACCATCATCATCATCATCATCATCATCATCATCATCATCATCATCACTATCATCATCAGCAGCATCATCACCTCCGCCATCACCATCACCATCGCCACCACCATCACCATCACCATCACCATTCCCATCATCATCACGATCATCAACATCAACATCATCATCCTCATAATCATCATCATTAGCATCAGCATCAGCATCAGCATCATCGTCATCATCATCGTCATCACCATCATCATCATCATCATCATCATCATCATCATCATCATCATCATCATCATCATCATCATCATCATCATTATCATCGTCATCATCATCTTCATCACCATCACCATCACCATCACCATCATCATCTTCATCATCATCATCATCATCATCAGCATCATCGGCATCATCATCACCGTCATCGGCATCAGCAGCATCATCATCAGCAGCAGCAGCATGATCAGCACCATCATCATCGTCATCATCAGTGTCAGCAGCAGCAGCAGCAAACTCCTCCTCCCCCTCCTCCTTCTCTGGCCGCTCTGGCTCATGCCGACCCTCTCGGAACGGGCCCCTCCGGTGCGCCCGAGCAGTACGGCAACTCCATGGTCTCAACGCTGGCCCAACGCTTCACCGCGCCAAAGAGGCTCATCCGCCACCTCGGGGCGTCATTAGAGGCCTCCGAGATAGGGTCCGAGTACATCCCGGCCTAGTGTTAAGACAATGTTCAGCTAAGAAGGCGGACTTCACTCGAAGTGATTTCTTAAACAGTAGTCCAGGTCCAGATGTACGAGAACATCCTAACACAAAACAAACTCCAAGAAAACGCTCAGGGTCGAGCCCAGATCCTTGATTCTCTTCAGCGAAAAATGGAGTCCATGACAGCTGATATTTGTTATTAAGATTTCTGACGGTGTAGATGGGGTCGGAGGAACGCACCGCACCGCCGATGTATAGCCGATGCATCAGCGATGCATCGGCGAAGCATCGGCGACGTCCACAGTGCATCGGCGGCGTCGGCGTGGAGAACATCGGGCTCCGCAGCGAGCCGCCTCGCCGATGCCTCGGCGATGCAGCCGCGATGCGGCGCGCTCCTCCGACCGACCCCATCTGCTCCGACCCGTGATGGAGGGCCTGGAAGCAGAGGCCCCAGCGCCGGCTCAGCACATCGGCGCCGAGAGGCCCGACGGGAGCCCCAGAGGACGGCGGCGGAGCGCCAGGCTGCCAGTGCGGAAGCCGCCGGCGGGCTCGCGCGCAGGTGCCCCCCGGTGGAGCTGTGGCGGCCTCCTCGCGGCACGCCCCTCCCCCCCGGGGAGCTGCTGGGCGGCGCGGCGGCCCCCCTGACTTTCGAGAGCGCAGCCCGAAGGTCATCGTCGACAGTGATCTGCGACGGCGGCCACGGCGGCGGCGGCGGCGACGACCACGGCGGCGACCACGGCGGCGGACAACGGCGGCGACCGCGCCGGCGGCGGGGCCCGCTGCGCGCAAACGTCGCCGCGATGCTCGCGGGCGTCCTGAGGACACGGCGCGGCGGGGCCGAGGGCCCAGGCGCAGCAGCTGCGCGGGCGGCGGCGGGCGCGCCCCGAGGCCCGAAGAGCCCGTGGAGGAGTGCGCCGCGGGTTCGCCCCACCGGCACGGCCTTGGCCCGCTGGCCGCCTCGCCCCCCTCGGGTGGGGATGCGTGCCGTGCCCTGCGCGTCTCGCGGGGCCTGTCCGCACCTTAGCGGGGGGGGGTTGGGCTGGTAGGGCCGGGACACCACGGCGCAGCGGGGATGGGGATCGGCCAGAGATAGCGCTGAACGTCTCCCCGCTCGCGGGCGTCCCTGGTGGCGCGGTGGTGTCGTGGCCCAGGCGCAGCAGCTGCGCAAGTGTCGACGGACGCGCCGCGAGACCCGAGGTCCGCAGAAGGACGGCGCCTCGGGGGGCGTAAGGGTGGATGGGTGAGGGTGGCAGCACAGAGCGCAACGCGCTGCGACATCTCATACACCTGCTGCCTCATCCTTGCTCCTTCTTGGTGTATACCGTATACAGTAGACACATACATACACATACGATCAGAAATCGAGCTACAAGAAAAAAGGGCGCATTCTCCGTCGATGTTTGAAGATCCTAGGGTGGCCCACAGCTTCTGTGGGTCCCTGGGGCCATCAGGGGATAATACACTTCCGTAGGGTGCCTGCTGGCAGGCCGATTTCTTATTCGATGTGTCTTCCGTACCCCGCCGACTCTGTCACCTATCCGGCCCATAACCGCCCAATCGGAGACCTCCCATCCCATCGAAAAAACGCAACATCTGCGCTTCCGCTCTCATCATGGACGCGTTGCTGCGATATTGAAAACATGCGCGGCGGAAGTGGGACGAAGCAGACACCGCGCACGAAAGGGCGACATGACTCGCTCGCCTCATCTCGCCTCGGCGCCGCGCTGATTTTTCCTGCAGGCGGACTTCTCGCTTGGGCGTGCCACACCTTTGTCTCGCTCGCCAATTCCTCGACAACGGGGTCGCGTGCGAGAGGGCGTAGTGTGCACCTCTCGCCCAGGCGCCACACAGGCTTGGCCTGAACCGCGTGCGCGCGGCGCAGATGTCACACGCGCCAAGGCAGTCGTTGGTAGCGGGGCGGCGCGCGACCAGTCGAGCTGTCGCCCTTCCCCAGGCTGCGTGCAGATTCCGCGTGTAGGTGGCGCTCCCACCTGGGCGTGGTGCACGATTTTCTGCTCGCCGAGTCGTGGGGAAGCGGCGTCGGGGCTGTGCGACAGCGGGACGTGCTGTCCTCGCCCGGGCGCCGCGCAGTTCTCGCGCGGAAGTGGCAGCTGCTTTGGCGCGGCGCATGCTGTGTCCTCGCCACTTTAGAGACAGTGCACGGGAGAATGCGACAAGGAAGCGTGCTCTCGCCGTACCGCCGCGCAAAGGCGCTCTGGAAGTTCAGCTCCTGCCTGGGCGCGACACGCGTTTTCCGCTCCTCGCCAAGTCGTCGGGAGGCCGCGCGCGAGCGCCTTCCGCTCGATGAGTGGGAACGCGCATCTGTCCCAATGTGGAGGTGCGCTAACATTGGCTCTTAATTACGTCATGGGAGAGAGTGTCGGAATGGGCAAGGCCTGCTGACTCGTTCGGCCTGGCCAACTTTCGGGGACGAAATGGACTGACCCAGGTCAGAGCACACCCGGGTCAGCCAGGGCCCTGTCGCAAAGACAGGCTGCCCGCCTAGTAGCTCCCAAGCCAGGATCAGCCAGAGGAGATTGGCTGACCCCCGCTTGCGCTGACCCCACCTCCGTGAGCCCCGAAACTTCAACCTCCGCGAACTCCTGTCGCCTCTGGGCGGTCGTTCCCCCAAAGGACACTTGCTGGCCCAGCGCGGACACCGAGGAGTCCTTCTCCTGCTCCTGCTCCTGCGGATGTCGGTGCTGCTGCTGCTGCTGCTGCTGCTGCTGCTGCTGCTCCTCCTCCTCCTCCTCCTCCTCCTCCTCCTCCTTGGCATCCTGCACGCGGCAGCGGGTTCTGCCTCGACCTTGGGCGTGTTGCCGAGCTTGCGAATGAGGTCGGCCTTCTCGAAGCAGCCTTCGCCAGAGACGCCTGAAGCCCAGACGCGCTGCAGTGGGACCACCCACCGAGTGGCACGCAGGAGGAGAAGGATGACCGCCGTAAACCAAGGATGCGCCAGCGATGCTGTGATACACATGCTGGCACGCCACAGGGCACCGGCCATAAAATGCACCCAAAGGGCACCGAGGCAGGAGCGAGAAGTGTCCACCACTGGGGGCATCAGGGGGCGCCGGCCACGGAGCGTCACCCGCAGAGCACGGATGCAAGAACGAGCACTCGCAACCGTTGGGGCACGCCGCGTCCAGGAGGGCATCACAGGGCACTGGCCGCCAGCCGAAGGGCACCACCCGTCAGGCAAGCACGAGACCCAGGACGGCGCGCCAAACAGGCACCCCGCTCCCCTGCCTGAATCTGGCAGGGGAGCGCTTGTATGTTCGATGTTTGGCGACCTACGTTGGGAAGTCGATAGCATAGGAGAGATCCTGATCTGATATGTTGAAAGATCTGTGTATATAATACAGATATACAAGACTGCATTGGCGCTTCGCGCCATGCACCTTGGTCCTTGGGGCTTTGCGTATGTTGGTCGTTCGAACCGTCCCTAGTGGCCTTGGAAATTTGGCCCCTTCCCTGCGGTGATTTCCGGAAGTCTTCGAAAGTTCGGGAGGTCCCTGGCCCTTCACGGGCCTCCAGGGGCTCCCCAAAGGCGCCGGGTGGAGGGCGGAGGATAGGGAGGGAATCTCGGGGAGCGAGGAAAGGGAAGCGGATGTAGGGGAGGACGAGTGGTGAAGCGGCAGAAAGAAGAGGAGGTGGAGGAGGAGGAGGACCCAGGTGGACCCAGAGGAGGGGCAGGAGGAGGGAAAGAGATGGCGCCGTCCGGGGGATTCAAGTGTACGTGCACGCTTGCAGAAATGTCTGGCAATGAATGACGACAAAAGGCCTTCGTAGACCCGCACATTGGCCGGCTCGTGGCTCAGGTGCCCCAGTGTGCAATGCGAAGGAATGGCAAGCCATGCGAATGAATGCCAAGCAAACCGACGAAATGTCAAGCAATGCCGCACAGCACGAAGCAATGCCAAGCCGAGGATGTCATGTTGCAGCGGGTCGCAACGAGGCACGCGAAAATAAATAATCATTGGGGAATGCACCGAATCTCGGGTTCGCAAAAGGTTTCCGGGAAGTGTGGTTGCGAACCCGAGATTCGGGTCAATTTGGTGGAACACGCCTTGTGGGCATTGTTGAAGCCCTGGTGGGCCGTCTCGGGGCCCTCTCGAACCGTCCTGAGGTCACCTTGGGCCGTGTTGGGGAGCCTGGGCCCTCTAGGGACCTTACGGGGGCTACGTGGGCCCTCCTGGTGGCCTCCCATGGCCTTTTCGGGGGCCTCCCATGGCCTTCTTGGGCTTCTCTTGGGGGCCTTGTGAGGGCATGTTGGGCTTCTTTTTGGCCAATTTGGGGCTTCTTTGGATAGTCTCGGGGCCATCCAGGCCGTCTAGAGTCTCTATTGGGAATCTCTTGGGCCGTCTTGGGGCGATACCTGAGGCATTCTTGGCTATTTTGGACGCTGCTGAAACCCGAACAGCGAATATGCTGAAAATGCACGTTTCCCATGGGAAGGAAGCGATTTGTGCGTTCTGGGAGTCCTGTTGAGGGCCTCCTGGGCCGCCTTGGAGGCCTCTGGAGGCTTTCTGGGTCCTTCTTGGAGCGCTCTTGTGCTGTCTTGGGTCTCTCTTCGGCCTCTCTGATAACCGCTCTGACCGCGCGGAGTCTGCTGGCAAGACCCGGCTGAGCACCCTGGGATGTCCGGGACGAGCCGGGGGACCTTCGGCAACGGTGTCGGTGGGGCCCGGAAACCCCGGATCCTGGGGGTCCGGTTTTTGGGGGGTGGGTCCCACCCCCCCGGCTTGTAAAAATATACGAAGAGGATTATATACAGATATCTATGTATGTATTTATATGTGTGTATATATATATATATATATGTATGTAGATATTTACATTTGTGTACACACATCTACGTACAGATATTCATTCTAATCTACACACATATATCAGCATGCGTTGCGGCGCGCTGGAACGCGTCGTCATTGTCAACGCGTGCCCATTCGGGATGCGTTCGGGGGCGGTTTGCGTCGTCGCCGCAGCCGTAGTCGTGGCCGTCGTCGCCGCCCTCGCCGCAGTCGCCGCCGTCGCTGCCGTCATCTCCGCCGTCGTCGTCGTCGGCATCGCCGTCGCCACCGCCGCCGCCGTCGCCGCCGCCGTCGCCGCCGCCGCGACGGCGGCGGCGGAGGTGGCGACGACGCCGACGGCGATGGCGAAGGGTGCAAGACGATGCTGAGAAGGGCCAGCACAAGCTACAGAACTCGGGGGGGGGGCTCGGGGGTTGTGAAATGCCAGGGTACGCGCTGAAGGCGGGGCTCAAAGCGGGCGCCCGCCCCCCGCCTCCGTTCGCCCCCCCCCATTAGCACTGTCCGGGGGCTGGGCGGTTGCAGCGAAGGGTACCACGTCGTGCCCAGAATCCCCACGCGCCATGAGGCTTGGGAGGGCCCCATTGGGTCATGTTGCACCCGAATGTCCGACGAGTCCAAGCGGCTCCCAGGTTAAAAGTCAAATGCGCCTAGATCTATTGCGAATGGGACCCTGGTGCCAGCCCCAAAGCGGTGCAATGACACGTGCGGCATGTACTTATTGCTTGCGCGCGTTCTCAAGCATTGCCTCGTCGATGTCGCGCAGACCAAATCCAAAGTCGGTTACTGGCCCACCCAGCAGGGCACAATTACAGCATCACAGGGCACCAGTCATGAAGCACCGCCGCTAGGGCACCGGGGCAAGCACGAGAAGTCGCGACCGAGGCATCGTGGGCACCGGCCGAGGGACACCACCCACAAGGCGCCAAGGGAAGAGCAACATTCCGCATCCGCAACTGGTCAGGCGTCACAGGGCGCCAGTGATGGATTTGGAGTCCCGAAACGGTGCGGTGACGGACCGAGAGTGACCTCGAAACCCCCCAAGACCTCACCGCACGGTCCGTCACCGCACGGTGTTGGGACCCTGGAGGCCCATGCCGCCCGAGACATCCTCGGAGAGGGGCTCGAGTCCCAAAACCGTGCGGTGACCCCGAATCCCCACCGACTCACCACACGGTGTGGTCACCACACCGTTTGGAGGCCCCCGAATGGAGCGCTGCCCACAGGGCACCCAGGGAAGAACGAGAAACCGCACCGTCGAAACATCATCGGGAGCCAGCCACAGAGTTACGGTATCGATCTCAAAACAGAAGGAAGTGAGGAAGCATTGCAACCAGCTTTAGACTATGTGCAGAATAGGTTGAGTCATCACCTGCAAACGCGCCAAAACCATGGAGAGAGAGAGAGAGAGAGAAAACAAAAAAGAGAGAGACAACCCATGGAGGTGGCAGGCGTGTGCCTACCACTCTGGACGTAAGCCAGGCCGTGAAACCAAAAACGTCGCTAGGCTTCAGCCCAGCGTTTGCGCTGCCCGCCGCGCATCCTCCTGGCCAGCACCCTGCCAAAGTACCCAATTGAGCGCTCTGGCGCTCCACCGGCTGTCCTCGCAGGCGACGATCTTGTCGCTCAGCGTCTTCTTCCGTGTCAAATGAAGCAAGACGCCCTTAGACTCTACGTCGCGTATGGAGCGAGCCGCACACGGGGCCCAATCTGTCCAGCAGCTGAAAGCACGCGCTCGCACGGCCCCCGGGGCTCCAGAGACGAATGCGGCGCGTCCTCCGAGCGGCATGCGACCGGTCGTGTGACCTTTGCGATCGAGCGACGCATCCACCACGCGATCGGCCACATGATCTTTGCGATCGGACCTGTTTTTCTCGCGGATGAAGAAGGTGTCCAAGCAGGTTTGGCATATGACTTTTGCGATCGGTATTGGTTTTCAGCTGGTTTCTCGACATTCTTCACCCTGGAGTTGGATTGTCAGGCTGTTCAAACGTCGATATAACTGTTTTCCTACTCGTCCCTCGCGATCTCAAAACCGCTTATCGCACGTCGCCCTTCGCACCCATTCCCCGCCCGCGAGCCGACTTCTCACGCGCACACCTATCCTGATTTTTTTCTTTCCCCTGCTTCAGGCGAGTCCTGAAAACCTAAGCACAAGCTTCTTCAAGCTTGCTTCAGTACTTTCTCGTGATCGCCCCTGTGCTTGGACACCCAGAACGTAAGCATAGAGCACTACCCACAAGGCACCACGGCACAGCGAGAAATGGCAACCAGCAGGGCACCATAGGATGGCACCGGTCATAGCGCACCACCCATAAGGGCACCGGGTAAGGAACGAAATTGCGAAGCCAGCAAAGCATCATAGGGCGCCAGCCACACAACACCTGCCATATAGCACCGAGGCAAGAACGAGGAATCGAAACCCTTAGGATATCGTAGTGCACCAGCCATAGGGGCGCCAGCCGTGTTGCACCGCAGTGTCAACGAGAACTCGCGACACCTAAAGCATAATGCGGAGCCAAACGTAGAGCACTGCCCATAGAACACCAGAACGGGAACTCGGACCATTAATGCATCATGCGGTGCAAGCCATAAGGCACCACCCAGAAGACACCAGGGCATTCGTCTTACGGATGAAAGGCGGCTCCTTTTCAACAAACAACTTCCGTTGAAGGTCTCCTTAAGCCTCATGATCAGAAGTTTAAATCTGTGCAACATCTACACGGATTGAGGGCGGCTCCTGTTCAATTCGGGGATATCGCTTGAGACGTCCTTAGGTTTGGGCCAGACGCTTTGGGAGATCAGGCGCACGGATTGAGGGCGGCTCGTTTTCAAAGTGGGGCTCTCGCTGGGCACCTCCGTGGACTTTGTGATGCATGCTCCTGCCTCGTCGCCGCCCTTCCAGCCAGAAGCACGGGTGCCAGCCTCGTTTTGAAGACGCCTGCATTGCAGGACCATTGGGGACCCGTCTTTCGAGGGGCACCTCCCGCAGTGGAACGGATTTCTTGTGGGGGCCTTGGGGAGGGGACTTGGGACGGGTGGGCGTATTGCAGCATCGTCGATGCATCTTGGGTTACTCTGGTCCTCCTCATCCTCCTCCCTCTCAACCTCCCCCCCTGCTGCCGCTGCTCGTCCCCATCCTCTTCCTCCTTCTCATCCCTCCTCTTACCCCTCCTCTTCCTCCTCCTCCTTCTCCTCCTCCTGTCTCCTCCTCCTCCTCCTCCCAAAACTCATCCGCCGTTTGTCCTCCGTCCGAGGGTGCCTAGCGCTTTCATGAGCTGCTTCAGCTCGGGGATGCGCATCATCCTTTGGCGGCCGCGGTGCCGCGACGCTGGCAGGCAAGAGCTGGGGCGGAAGAGTCGGGAGCACACTCTCGGGCCGAGGCGGCCAGCTCAACGAAAGGCACCGTCCGCCGACTGATGTGCCCCAAGGCCTCACGGTGTGTGCCGCTTGCTGCAAGACCGTCGGCCCGCCCCGCTCGCCGCCCGCAGCTCGGTGGCCCCCGGCCCGATATCCCCGCCTCGCTCGGCGGCACGCTCGGGAGCACACCCTCGGGCCGAGGCGGCCAGCTCAACAGAAGGCACCGTCCGCCGGCTGCTGTGCCCAAGGCCTCACAGTGTGTGCCGCTTGCTGCAGAAGCCGTGATTGAGCAGGGACCGACCGTCCCGGCATTTCTATAGGCCTACCACGAAATGTTCTTAGAACCCAGAAATGTTCTTAGAACATAATCCCGATGTGTTAAAACAAGGCACTCACAGCCATGAATGTTCTAAGAACATGTCGTGCAGACCACAAAGGGCTCATAGAACATTATGTGGGCCTATAGGCGAGCCAGGACGCTTCGCCACTGCTTGACGTGAGGCCCGCTCGCCGCTCGCCGCCCGCGGCCTCGGTGGCCCCCGGCCCGAACTCTCCCCGCCTCGCCTGGCGGCGCGCGAGGGGCGGCGGCCGAGCTGAAGGGGGAGGGCGGGGAGCCAAAGAGGGGAGAGGGAAGAGAGGGAGGGGAGGGGAGATAGAGAGAGAGAGAGAGAGAGAGAGAAAAAAAAAAAAGAGAGAGAGAGAGAGAGAAAAGAGAGAGAGAGAGAGGGAGAGAAGGGAGAGGGTGGAGGGAACGACGGAGGCAGGGGCGACTGGGGAGGGGAGGGGAGGGGAGGGGAGGGGACGGGAGGGGAGGGAAGGGACGGGAGGGGAGGGGAGGCGGGGGAACACTGGGGATGGTAATGGGGGAGAGGCAAGGAGGGAACGCTGGGGAGGGACAGGGGGAGCGGAGGGGGAGAGGGGGGGAAATTGTAGGGAGGGAAGATATGAGGGGGAGGAGAGGCGGGCACCTGGAGAGAGGGACAGGGAGAGACTTCTCGCCATCGCTCGGACGCCCATTCCCCGTGGCTTCTCCGGTTTCGTGTGCTTTTTTGGTGCCAGATGACCAAGGATGCTCATCGATGGTCCTCGCCGAGAAACACCCACCCACACCCACCCACCCACCCACACACACACACACACACACACACACACACACACACACGCACGCACGCACGCACGCACGCACGCAGACACAGGCACAGGCACAGGCACAGACACAGACACAGACAGAGACCCAGACACAGACACACACACACACACACACACACACACACACACACACACACACACACACACACATACGTCCGATCGATGCCAAGACTTCGGAGGGAGGAGCGGGAGAGGATGTGACGGGAGTGGGGGTGGCCCACAGTGCTGCTTTGGGCGGGCTCCAGAAACGGGCCCCGACCTCGAGGGGATCGAGGGGGGCCCGGCCTCTCATTTCCTCGGCGGAAGGCCGGCGGAAGTAAAACAAAAAGAAGAGAGGCCGCCTCCGCACTGGCGGAAGTGAAACGTGCGCCCCCGAGAGATGACACCTCCTCCTCCTCCTCCTCCTCCTCCTCCTCCTCCTCCTCCTCCTCCTCCTCCTCCTCCTCCCCTCCTCCCTCCTCCCTCCTCCTCCTCCTCCTCCTCTCCCTCCTCCTCCTCCTCATCCTCCTCCTCCTCCTCCTCCTCCTCCTCCCTCTTCCCTCTTCCATCCTCCTCCTCCTCCTCTTCCTCCTCCTTCTCCTCCTCCTCCTCTTTGTGCCTCCTTTTTCCTGGCGCGGTCCCCCTGGCTGTGCCACCCCCCTGGGTTCCAGGATCCGCCAGTTGGCTGCACGCGCATGCAGAGAGTCTGCCGTACCGCCCTTCCGAGGTGCAGGTGCTGAAGCTGAGCACAGAACCAGTCCGCGGAGAAGGAGGAGGAAGAGGAGGAAGAGGAGGAGGAAGAGGAGGAGGAGGAGGAGGAGGAGGAGGGCGTCCAGGTGGGAGAAAGGAGCAGGGCCAAATCGCGAGCACGCCCGAGAGCACAACCCTGCACGGACAGTTCCGTGCTCCTCGAATCGGGAGAGGCGGAGCTGCTGGCGCGCCATGGCCACGCCCATAAGCCAGCCTGCAACCCTTACATTTGCACCGCGAGTTGACCCTGCTGGCGACACGGCGAGACGTAAGCGCAAAGCGGCCATAGCGACGAGATGGCGATGATGAGGAAGGAGGATGGCGCATTGGGAGTAAGATTGCGCAGAATACATTTGCGGCGCAGACAAGGTGGTAGCGCGGGGAAGTAACCTTCCAAGAGAGCGGCGTGCTTCGTAGAAGACAGGGGGCCTTCTCAGAAAGGCTTCGTGGCTTCTAAGGAGGCGTCTTACAGGCCAGGAGGTTTTGTGAGAAGGCCCCTGCCGTAGCATTAGCCCCTGCCGTAGCATTACGAAAACTACTACTACTACTACTACTACTACTATTACTACTACTACTACTACTACTACTACTACTACTACTACTACTACTACTACTACTACTACTACTACTACTACTACTACTACTACTACTACTACTACTACTACTACTACTACTACTACTACTACTACTACTACTACTACTGCTACTGCGACTGCTATTACTACTACTATTACTACTACTACTACTACTACTACTACTACTACTACTACTACTAATAATAATACTACTACTGCTACTACTACTACTACTAC